ACGTCAGCCATGGCCATGGCAGCGCCCACGCACGTCCAAGGGTGTCTGAGGCCACTTCAGTTTAGTTTGGTTTTTATTTACTACAGTATTATAACACCCTGGGATGTGTATGTTGATACGTAACGTATCGTTACATAACGTGTATGTTACAACACGTGACGTACGAGGGAGCGAAACCGCCGCTTTCTCTGTTATCCTGAAGGCTGCACACCTGACTTGTACCGCTGCCTAATGGTGCGTTGGCGAGAAGGGTTAACGGTTTCCTAAGAAGGGCACGTAGGCTGTTCCTGGTTTAGGGCATTAGAAATCACGCTGACATAAATAGCTCGTCTGCATTTAGGGCCAGCAGGGCAGATCCGCAGAAAGGGAATCGACAGGTGGAGACCGTTCTGGCAAATCCCCTCCTCCTGGCCGTGCCAGGTGGGCGCCCCCACAGCCCAAGGGTGGCAGGCTTGCCCCGGCCTCTCCAGCAGCAGGCAGGTGGGTGTCCACAAAGAAACATACTCTGATTCTCTGGCTCTGATTTCTTTTTTTTTTTTTTTTAAATGTTTTTATTTATTTTGAAGGAGAGAGACAGAGCATGAGCAGGGGAGGAACAGAGAGAGAGGGAGACACAGAATCCGAAGCAGGTTCCAGGCTCTGAGCCGTCAGCACAGAGCCCGATGCAAGGCTCGAACCCACGAACTGTGAGATCATGACCTGAGCCGAAGTCGGACACTTAACCGACTGAGCCACCCGGGCGCCCCTCTCTGGCTTTGATTTCTGGAAAGGAAGCGAGTGGTGAAGGGCTCGGGCTCTCGGGCCAGGGGCTGCCGTCCTGAGCCGGCACTGGCACCGTGGAGATAGGAGGCCTTGGGCACATCACTTAACCTCCTTGTGCTGCCTCGGTTTCCTCAGGGACGACACAGGGATGCTGATGGTGCTTCACCTGATCCAGTGAGTTAGGACGGGACGTCCCGAGCGCAGGGCCGGCGCCCCCTAACTGTTGTAAGAACGTCAGCCCTTAGCGCGCCTGGCTGGCTCAGGCGGTAGATGGTACATTGTGCAACTCTCCATCTCGGGGTCCTGAGTTCAGCCCCACGTTGGGCGTAGAGCTTCCCGTCACGTGTTGTGTTCTTAGCGAGGTGGATGTTAGCTCCCGTGCGTGAGCGGTGCCCGTGCCGCTGGCCCTTGGGGCCCCTCCCGGTAGGACCGCGGCTGATCTCAACAGCATCAGCCTGGAGAACAACAGAAAAACACTTAAAAAAAATAGACTTGGGGGGCGCCTGGGTG